TAACCCCCCCCCCCCCCAAATTCTGAGGCCTGGCGCCGCCACTGTCCGTGGGGCTTTGCCTTGAGGGAAATATCACTGAGCCCGAGGGTAATATTTTGCCAAGTCTCCCGAGCGGAGTGTCTATAAATGATATATGATGTTATGCCGAAAATTGAAAGCCTCCAAGTTGAGAATATAAAACTTGCCACATACCTTCGTGAATACGATATTTTATTCTTTTTATTTATAAACGCAAGCATTTGTCACTTTTCTATATCGAATTACCTATCGATTGGAAAATATTGATGGTATAACAGTTTTCAAAATTTGCTTCGAAATTTTTAATAAAGACAAGCTTTCTTTGAAATTTAAAAACTCATTTATTTATCACTTCTCAATATATTTTGTCGGTCATGTTGTTTGCGTGATGGCCACGCGTGGTTTACGCGAATATGATCAAATCACTCGTGTGATATGATTGAAATCACCCTCTAAAGAGTGATTCGATGATAAATTTCATGCTCACGAGGCCCAAACTTAGCTTTCTGATTGGACGTGTTGAATTTGAGGTAAATTTTGTAGGATATTCTTGTGTTGGTACCAAAAATTGCTCGTTTTTAAATAAATAATAAAAGTTTGGTGGGGCAATTAATAAATGATATAGAATTGCGAATTTTGAGACTTTGAAAACCGATTCGATCTTGAGCAACAGTTATTAAAAGTAGTCATTTGAAACTGGCTTCTTCCCGGTTTTAGTAAAAATGGTAATTATAAGACAGGAAGGCAGCTTGCCTCGTTAGTTACAAGTGAAAAATGTAATACACATGCGCGAGCAAGTAATTAAAGCAGACATAAAAGGGTGCCTTATTCTTTTAATGAGAAAGTTGTTAGACATTTAGTCTAAAGTCGGGCTATTACCATCTTCGTCAGGCAACCAGTTCCGCCAGTTTGTGACGACTCGCTCGCTAGCCCTTGTAATCAGCCATACACTTCTTCCAGATTTTAGATTTTTTATCGTTTCTTATACAGATTTGAGTGGGATTTGTACCAAGCTGAAAAAGGACTGTTGTAAAATTCAGGGTAAGTTTCTGATTGTCTATTTCTGAAGTGTTTTAAAAGTGTGTATGTTCATGCAATAGTTGGGCCATTTTAAGAAGAAATCAAATATATCGTTGTAGTAAAAAAGTTGATCAACTTTTCGTTTTAAACGTTTCCAAATATGATGATGTTAGATGAATTGAAAATTATAGTTTTCCCAGATTTTAATCTTTTTGAATATCACCTGATCATATAATGGGCCAATTAAATGACGACAATTTAATAAGGTGTTATATAGGATATATCACATTTCGTCTTAAAATGACCTAAATATTACACTTACTAAAAATCGTATTTGGGGTTAGTAGCATTTTAACTTATTTGAAGACACGTGGGAAATTTACTCAACTAATTATCCTTTTACTTGTTTGTTTTGCACATAAAATCTGTTACGTAGCTCTTTTCCAAAATCGAAAATTCCTGTCATAGAATTCCTGCTTAAAACACTCAGGTTACAATATTTTTGTTTAACCTAGAAATAACTCTATTTGGGTTAACTTGTTATTCCTCGCGTTCCTGGTTATTCTGAACTAGTTCCTACTATATATATAATCTAGTTAATTTGACCAGTACTTTGGATATTTTCCAACCTAGGGCCACTCCAAATTTATAGACTTTAGTTTTCCGTCCTCCGTCCGCGTTTCCTAGAACTGGCCCCGCATGATTTGTCCCTCTTCCTCGCCCTCCCGCGTGTAATTTGAAATAAGGGCCGGAAGGGAAAATAAAGTCTAATTTTGAGTGGCCCTATCATAAGTATAACCAGGAATATTAAGTTGACCTAAATAGTGTTATTCCTAGGTTAATTTAATCAGGAACGTTTAACCTGAGTGTGTTTAGTGTGTATGGAAGGCACTGGTCTTTTCCTTTCCCTCTTCGGTAAAGAAGTTCAATATTTGTCGCCACATGCCCCCTCATAAATGCAAATGACTTGAATAGGAAATACCCATATTCTCTAACAACACTAACTTTATATATTTCGATGTTTACAGTACGTTGTTAGTATAGTAAAGTGTAGTGCACATTAATGTTTCAATATATAGTACAAAATTTAAAATTAATATTTGCTTTTATGGCCCCAAGACTTGCAGATAAGGTAACGGAATTTTATGTTTTCTTCTAGATGACGGACATCCAACAAAAAGTAAGGCCAAATTTAATCGAAATCGTTGTTTGCATCCCGAAATCGTTGAAATTGTTGAATGCGCCTGCAACTTGTATATATCACCAAAGTTAATCGATATATGGTCTGTAAATATAAACGTAAATATACTGTGTTTCAAAATCTTGTTTTCTTTCCAGGTACTCAAGAAATAATCCCTACGACTACGTATAAGCGTATGTTTTTCTAATTTTATATAAATTAAGATTCTTTTCATAAATTCTGTTCGTTGGGATACATTAATCAAGAACATAATTATAGTACCCACTATATTAGTGGCGGGCACTAGGCGGGGGGGGGGGATGCAAAGGGGAAAAACCCCCCCCCCCCCAATAATTTGCGAAAGGTTTTGAATGATGGCTGAATAACTGTGCAACAATTAAAGCTGTAACAATAACTGTTAAACCATTAAAGCATTTATGGTATAAATTAAGCTATATAATGCGCTAAATTTAAGGCGAAACTTAATCGCGTAATCTATGAATTTTTTGTTGGTAATTTAATCCCTCCCAATATTTCGTGAAGTGTCCGCCATAATGTTGTATCTGTTGTTACTGTTCGCCCACAGACGCAAACTGCGTTGAAATGTTTCATTACTGGAATCCATTTTTGGGTTTCAGTGGTTAATTTTTTGCATCCGACATCGATCGTCCCCACTCAACCAACATATATTCACATACCTTGTGTATTTCTGTGTGTTTAGCTGCAGGAAAGATGGTGAAATTCATGAAAAAGAACATGTTTCAGTCAATAAGTACGGACGCTTGGGATATAGAAGTCTTTAAAATTGGTGATTCGTTGTACTTCGGCTTGTCACAGTTGGGTCGTGCTAGTTTTCAGATATATAAGTGGTATGAGAACAGGTACGATTTTCTGTTTTGTATTCAAAACGTTCGCCATTAGCGTTTAGAGCTGCTCCCGTCAGTTCATTATTGTAATCAATTAATCGTCATCAACTGTCGATTAAAATCGACTAAACAAGCGGCGTTTTTTATTCACGAACGCCTACCGGAAGTAAATCGAGCCGTTATAGCATAGCAGCCCAAAACTGCGTGTAGAATGCTTCCAAATGCCGATTTATATTAAGCTCGCCCCATTCCTCTGTCGTTTGTCGCGCGCCGCAAGCCCTCAATGAAAAGCATTGTTTATATACCCGGTATATAGATTATACCTAAGGTTGGCAACTATATCTCAACTGACGAATATACGACTTTATATATATATATATATATATATATATATATATATATATATATATATATATATATATATATATATATATATATATATATATATATATATATATATATATATATATATATATATATATATATATACAGGGTGTATCAAAATAAACGCAATTCATCTTTTGTGTTTAATAACTTTCGAAATACTATTTCTAGTTAAACGCTTTTAGGCTTACTTCAAAGCCTGTTCTTTTCTCTTTCAAACAAACTATTATCCTTGTCTCCAATGCTAGTAATAATTTCACAGGAAAAGATTTAGTAAAACCTATCCTTTTTAGTTGCTGTTTAATTATGCAAGTTTACTATGTTATTGTTTAGTCGGTTTAAATGTTAGAATTTTCTTCTTTTGCAGACAACTTTGATATCAGTTTACTAAACAACCCAATTAATACTCATTTACCAATTGCAACAAATCATATTAAGTTTACAATTCCACTGATAACAATCGATGATATACTAAATCTTGTAGCCGAATTAGACCAGAACAAGTCAACCGGTCTTGATGGTATTCCTGCCTACTTCATCAAGTCCTCGATTCATTCCATTGCACCCATAATACTTCGCATTTGTAATATGAGCATTGAAAATGGCGTCTTTCCCAACATGTGGAAGAAAGCTAGACTGATTCCAATCTATAAAGCTGAAGCACGTACTGAGAGAAACAATTACAGGCCCATTTCTATATTACCGATTCTATCTAAACTCCTCGAACGACATGTTGCCAACTCATATGTAAAATTCCGCACAGAAAATGATATTCTATCAAGTTGCCAGCATGGTTTTCGAGTCCATCACTCTTGTGAATCTACTCTAATATTGATCTGTGAACACCTTCTCGATAACATTGAGCAAGGTTTAATTAATGGTATAGCTCTAATGGACCTCTCCAAAGCGTTTGACCTGGTCGATCATAGATTGCTACTGCAGAAATTAGAACAATATGGCATTACTCCAATAGCTTTAAAATGGTTTAAATCGTATCTAAATGATTGTTACCAAGTAGTACAAATTGCATCATCCCTATCCAACCCAGCTCTGAT